TCCTGCTAGGACTCTAAAAAAACAAGTGACAGAATCTTAAAACTATGGAAAATGCCATTGTTTCCATCAAATCACGTATTATAACTTCATTCTGGTCAGAGCTGGATGACATATTTTAATAATGGAACATAGGAACTTTTGCTAACTGGTTATTAGTTTAGAGTTACCCCAAATTAATGCTAATAATGCTTCAAATTCAAAACTTGCTCATGCGTCTAGTTTTAATACTCCCCTTTTCCCCGCCTACAGACTTATTGAAGGGGAGAGAGTTGGTAACCATCAGATTTTTCCACGGCTTATCGGGAGGGCTTAGTGGTGGAAAATAAATGAAGGGCTTTGGTTTATTTCAGCCGGCCAGCTGGGAGTACTCGCACAGGGAGTGCCTAGAAACAGTACTTCATGTCACCAAGGAGCTGGATGGAGTCAGTTTGACACTGCATTCTGCATATGTGCCTTCCAGTCGTAGCTGTGACTGCCCATCCATACATAGTATCTGGTTATGTGGCACTGAAACGGATTCTAAACTGGGGACCTGGAGGTGCTTCCGGTACTCTGCCAACCAGCTAGTGCTGTTTTCAGATAGAACCAGGAAGCCTGTACTTGCCATGACTATTATTTAGAATGAGTTGGCAAGTTCAAACCAGATTTCATGACTATCCCTGGAACTGTCCGTAAAAACTAGATGTGGGGTAAAGTTACTTTTTTCTCAAATGGATGAAGAGGTTTGGGGGGTGTTTTTTTTAGCATCTGTATGATATTTTTATGATTTTTAAAAGATACGTTAGATTCATTTTTTTAGGCTACATATCTACCTATCAACCGAGAATCGTTTTTTATTAAGCGATTCTCCATCCATTAAGAAACATTAAGAAATACAGTTAAATTTCAAGCCGTGTAACTGTTTCTGTCGTCTTCAAAGAATCGGGTGTATTTAGAGCTGCTTTTCATAAGCTTTAGTTAAGTTTTATACCTGTCCCTCAGGGCACCAATTCCATTGGTAGATGCAGAGATTTTCATTCTGATTATTTTATTTTCACTCCAGAGCACCAAGGTAATGAATACAAGACTCTTGACTCGACTACTGACACCCCGCGCCCCCCCACTCACTTCAGTGATCAGCAGAGACCCCCCCCCCAAGCTGTAAGGAACCTTGCAGATTTTCCTGTTGATTTCACAAAGGAAGCTATTAACACACAGAGGAATTAGCCGACTTTCCCCCGCTAAGTCCGCATAGCTACTTAATAAAAGAACTGGAATTAGAACCCAGGTCTCCCGCATTCTATTATGTCTTCTCTGCTAGAGGGAAACTAGGTGTGTCTCCTTCCTTAATTTTTTCCCTTTGATATTTGAGACCTAATCCTCCTTCACCAAGCTGCTGAAAGCAAACGGAGGACGCAGCACATTCCCTAAACAAGGAGAGAGAGATCCTAGTCTACGAGGTGTTTTGAAGATTTACCCTTTTGACGCAGAAGCGTGTCTTTACTTCGTGTAAAAGAGAGAACACAATAGTAAATGCCCTGACTCAGTGCCCTCCCTCCTCATTTGCAGTCGAAACGTGGAAAGAAGTGGGTGACCAATCAGAGTAAATTGTCCATGTACTGAAATGTATTTGAGATGACAGATCCAAAAGTACCTGCTTCCTTTTGAGAGATTTATATCAAATGACTTAAAAGAACTTTAATTTTTTAAATTTCTTTCCTTTCATGTTAAACATTAATATTTCAAAAGGCCAAAAAACACATTCTACGAGAATGCTTCTGTTATTTTATGCAAAAAAAAAAAGTGAGAGCCTTACATGGTTTTATTAAGCAAATGGAAATATTGTGTCAGACTACTCTTACTGAAAATAAAATGATTTCTAAATATAAATATGTGCTCTTTTAATAATCAGACTCATTCTAAGCATGCATTTCAATTTATAGCCACATGTTCACTATTTTCAAAGAACTCTGAATCATTTTTTTGCCTTAATTTATCATGGAGTAAGAACTTTATAATAAATTAAATGTCAAATGGCTCCTTTTTAAAGATTCATAGAAAAGAGAGTGCGATTAAAAAGCGAAGCCTTTCTTGGTTTTGTACTTAGCTTCGCCACACACGTTTTGGCAAGTCACTGTATTTAAAAGTCATTTTAAATAAAATGAATCTATACACAGAATAATTCCATTAGAAATCAGGAAAGGAGCTCCCTTGGCGGGTATAAATGACAAAGTGGTCTTGAGGGGGTTTCTGGGTGCGGACGATGCTGTTTCTTTAGGTTCTGCTTTGGGGTCTTGGTGTGTTTAGGACTCAGTGGCCCATTTGTGTGAACATTTCTGTATATATATTACATTTCGATTCGAAGTGAAAAAATTAAGGTGCTGAAATAGTCTATGAAATTCGCCTCCTACAACTTACAAACGTGCGGCTGGTACTGCCGTGTACTCTTCGTTATTGGATTCCAAATGTAAAAGAATATTATGAGAAAATCGTTGGATTGCACCGTTTTTTCCCCTAAATCTTTCCTATACTCTACTAGAAATTTCGATGTTAAATTACTAAGCATTTTACCAACTCAAGGAAAAAAAAACATAAACCGTAATGATAGTTGTCATTGAGGTAAAAACGGAATAAGACTTTACCTTCTGTGTTTCAGAAATGTGGAGCCCTTTCTTCTTAAAGTACATTCTAAGATGGCTTTATAGACTGTCTTTTAATAAAGTGAAAAAAGCTTCAGAGTAAAGCATTCTTCAAATTTATTTGTGTGGTCGATAAAAGATGGCTCTTTATGTTTTTCCTGTGACTCGCCAACAAGAAGCGTTTACCTTTCGCCTCATCCTCAACAGGTTGCCCCTGCCAGAGCAGACTTTCATGGGCCACTGGACAGTCGGTCAGTCAAGAAATGGAACGCAAAAGCTGCTGTGTCCAGCAGAAACTCATCATATAGACATAAAGGTGGATCTTATTACTTCTTCATTAAAATATTGAACGTTACAGATTTTTCCGTTTTCACTGGCGAAAATCCATACGAGCCCAGAAATGACTTGTTCTGATGTTGTTTTAGAATAGATTTAGCTTCTGCTCTCACTCTCAAGGCAGTCTGCCCTCTGAGGAACTCGATGTAGGTAATTGCTAATCACCAGTAGAATTACTAAGAACTAACGTGTATTTCAGGAGAATCAGATATCTTGTGTGTTATCCTAGGACAGTTACTCCATGATATTTGTCTTCATTTAAAAAGGCAAAGGAAAGGAATATCCATCACTAGTTGCAACTACTCAACTCTGCCATGGTGGCACCAAAGCAGCCTTAGACGATACAGTAACAAACGAGTGTGTCTGTTTGCCAGTTAAATGTTATTTCAGAAGCAGGCAGCGAGCCGGAGCTGACCGGTGGCCCATAGTTCCTCAGTGCCGGCAGGAGAGTGGAATCTGACCGCACATGTCAGTCAGAGGCTCCTTGGTGACGGTAGCTGCGGGAAGATGGCCACTACCCCTCTCTGCCTTCCGGATCTCATGCAAGTGCATTTGATTGGCAGAACCTAAAGAACATCCAGAACTCCTGCTCGAGGGAGCATGAGAAACGTAGTTGTTAGTCTTCCAGCTCCTGAGATGCACATTAGGCAGAAAGGGACCATGGGGGCCGCAATCGTCAATATCTAACCCTAACGTTTTTGATTAATTAAGGACTATAAAGCATATAAGTTATTGAAATGTTAAACGCCTCTAGATAGTCTTTCCAGGGTGTCATATCTAAGCACTCAGCAGTAATATCAGTAACATTATTAAATTACTTCCTCTGCCTATGTTTCTAGTGAATAATTTTTACCTTATGCGAAACACTCTACCTTTGACAATTAACAATAGTGGTAATCTACTACTAGTAGTTGTTTTTAATTTCAATTTGTCATTTTTTTACATTATCTTTCCAAGACCTAGGTTTAGCCATTACATTCTATATAATGATACAATAATCATTCTTTACTACGGCCCTGATTCATTAATTTACAAATTTTTCTCCTGATTTGGACAGCTCTGGGTCCCAATACTTGGGAATTCAAAAGTTGCTCTTAGCTGAGGAAGAAATGAAGCAATAAATCCTATGAGATTTTGCATCTGGTATATTTTATGAGTAAAAAGAACATTAAATGAGAAATTAAATAAGATAGCACATATGGAAGCATTTATAAATGCTAGTAGATGGTATTATTGTTATAAGACCACTCCAGTCAATAAAAAGAAAAGAGATACTTCGAGATATTGAATATTTGAATTTAAATTCTATATTTTGGAAGCTCTTTAGCTTTTCTACATTTTGGTAAGTACCCAAATTTCTTAACTTGGATAACTACTTTATTATAGGGTCCGGCACTTATGAACATACAGGAGTATCCAATAGAAAGACATGAAGGGAGATCTCAAACCTTTACTGAAGAATGTGCCTCCTGGAGATTGCCATTGGATGAAATCAACATAATCTGTGACATCGCTACATCACATGGTATGTCAGTTTATCCTTCTGATTTTTCTTTCCTAAACTGACTTTTTTTTTTTTAATTGGGATTAAAATAATCTCTAGACATCAGAAATCTATGACAGACTCGATAATTGTGTCATTCTTGGAGTGGATAGCAATTATATGTAATTTAGAACTAACTTCCTGTAACGATCTAACAAAACAGTGTTGCGGAACCCACATAAGCACCGCCAAGTTTGTGTGCACATGTCTGTTTCTCATTGCGATTGTAGCACAAAGTTAAACACACTCAAGCATGTGCTAAAAATAGAAGCGGAAAAGAAAAAAGAGAAACCTTGGGTATTTTGGCTGGGATTCCAGCTGGGCGATTGCATGAACCATGAAAGCTGGGCTACAGTGATTTGCAGTCATTAAACTTCTCGTCGTAAAGAATGACAAGGAAAGGATGTGAACTTTTGGCATCTGTATTTCTAGACCGTTGCCCTTACCTACTGATTCATGCAGTGTGCCCTGGTACCTTCTGGCAGAAGTTTCTCAATTAGTGGCAATTACTAAGGTGATATAAACAGAGACGAAGGCAACAGGAAAATGGAGAGTCTCTAACTGGACTAAGCTGGGGATCGTGTAGGCAAAAATTCCGAAGCAAGTTTTGTTCCTATGAGTCCTATAGATATAGCTTATCCCTAAAATCATCTGAGTCAAATAAAAATATGTGCTTTAAAAATATACGGTTCTTTGTAACAGATGGGTGCCCTTAAGATATTTTACACTCACGAGTAGAGAGTATGTACGGATTTTATGGATATAGTTTGAACTTTGGCCCTTGTTTCACATTTAGGCACTGGAAATAAGTGTGCTGCGACCATGGCCTGTGGCAGGTGTCACTAATCAGACGCAGGGCTCCTCACCCCACAGCCCTGGGCACGGCAGTCCAGGTACTGCCAGTCACTCAGCTCTGGCCCCTGAAGAGGAAGCTCTGTCGCTGTCCCTCATGTCGTTTGACCCTCTTCACTTGCAAACTAGGTTTTTTGTTATTTGTTTCTTTGGTTTTTACCTATTCTGTATTTGTAAGAGAAAAAGAGCATTTTCTTGGATTAGAATGAGATATACATAGACACACTAAGAGAGATAGATGATTGATAGATAGATAGATTAGACAGACAGACAGACAGACAGACAGACAGATAGATACACACATATACAGAGGGAGACAGAGCCAAAGACCAAACAGCGCTTAATTTCTGCAATAAGAGAGAACACTTAATAAGTTTATTAAGTACATTTCTGTTAATACTTTTACTATATTCCCTGGTGCTCTGTATTATGCACAAAGGTGCTCAATAAATTGGACTGATTTGTGCTGATAGGAGAAGCATTAAAAAGATTCTTAAATGATAAATTATGTGATTCTGTCTGATATTTGGAACTATAACACACATACACACAGTCTTCTAAATACCAGCTTCTTCTGCCCTTCCATTGACTTGTGTTTCTTATCAGCGTTAGCTTATTTATTTACGTTTCCTATACCTTTACATGTAATATTTGGTCTTTATTTGTAGACTTGGCATGCGTACGCACACGCGCGCACACACACACACACACACATATGTTCCATATTTTCCAGGATAGTCACAGATATCAATATCTCATTATCATATCTTGTGTCTTAATTTGGGGTTCAGAAAATATGATCACTGTCCACATAGATACCTGGATGAGGAGCGATGCTGATGGCATTTGTTGTACAGAAGCAGCTAATACCTTGCCTTAAAGCGCTCACAGATATCGATTATGGAAAACACGGCCCAGAGCCTGACTGTTCGAAGGGAGGCCGTCAAAACGACAGCACCGGCATTATGTGGGAGCTGGTTGGAAAGGCCGAATCTGAAATCCCACCCGGACCAGCTGAATCAGAATCTACCTTTTCATTAGATACTTAGTGATTCACATGCACTTAAAAGTTGACGAAGCAGTGAGACAATTCAGAAAATGGACCTAGTCAAGTCTTCAGTTGGACAAAACAGATCGAATTTTTTTATTGAGGTATAATTGACATATAACATATGACGTTCGGGTGTACAACATAATGAGTCCATATTTGTGTATATTATGAAGTGATCACTGCAATAAATCTAGTTAACAAATGTGACCATACATAGTTACAAATTGGTGTATTTGTGTGTATGATGAGAAGAAACAGAGATTTTATAATAAGAAATACTCAAAAGATAAAAGTTTGGAAACTAAGATCCATGAACTAAGAATTAAAAAATAGAATTATTTATAACAAGAAAGCTTAAAGATCTAGTAACTTTCCAGAAAACAGGAGATTAGCAGATGGAAGTTGTTGACCAGCTTTTGTCCATCTGAACCAACAACGAAACAAGAGAAAACAGACCTTTATTAAAGTGCAAAGTGAGGTTTCACACAAGGAAGAACTTCCTGTGTCGAGAAGTGTTAAATAGATAATGGTGTCCCTATGAGATGTCGTGGAATTTTGGGGAAAAAAATAGCTGTGGCCCCATCTGCATTTGGAGCAGGAACTCAGTTGTTTGTCATGGTCGTTTTCAGCCTAATCGATCCATCTACACATCAGCTGCCGAGTTCCAACTGTGCGACTCAGTTTTCAGTGGATCTCTTGACCAGTCAGAAAATCTGTTGCAGATGACAAAATGAACTCCTTTCTGTCATTTCAGAAAATGAAGAAAATACCCTCTACGTAGCTACGTGCAATCCTGTTTCCTTACACTTTATGGACACGGCTGGGAAAAGTGGCTACGTCGTGGACCTTTCTGACATCTTACCAAGAACGGCCAGAGGAGTTTGGCACCCATTTTTGACAGTGGCACCCCTGGGAAGTCCCCTCAAGGGCCAAGTGATTCTCCATGAACAGCAGGTAAACACCCCAGGCCAGTCACACGGAAGATTGTGCCCAGGGTAGCGTGTGAAGGAAAAGGCAGGAATGATTCGCAGCCTCTAACTGAAAATCGCTGTTCTCCTAACAGTCGGGGAGGGGGCTGGAGAGAGCGCCCGGGGTTGTCTGTGGTAAGTGCAGCGAAGAAGACGGGCTGATGTCTCCCCCTCTGCAGAGACCTCAGCATGACCTGTGAGTCCAGAAGTGCTTAGTCAGGCTTTCTCTACCTCGGTACTGCGGACATTTGGGGCTGGAAAAGTCTCTGTCGTGAAACCTCCTTTCTCTTTGAAAAGATAGACAACAAACAAGTAAACTAGCAAATACATATACCCAGTTCAGTGACGAGGCCTTGCCTTAATAATTATCATAAATTCTGAGTTAAAATTATTTTCCGATTTTCAGATGTTTCTTTCATTTTCACCTTCTCCTAGAAGCAGAGTGACGAATATCCAGATATCGCTTATAGAAGTTTGTTTCCAGCACATTGGAATAAGGGTTTTACTCTATAGATTTCCAACAAAATCTCGATGCTGTTGAATAGAATTCTATAGTCAGAAGAGTCTGTCCTAAAGAGAACATGATATCTTGGTGATTTTTAAGTCAATTAAATTTGGATAAAAATCTAAATTTGGTGTATTCAAATAGTCCTGCCGCATTTTCAGCCGTCAGATGAACTGTCAGATTTACACATACCGATTCTTTAAAAGATTTTTAGGCTCTCACCAAGTTATTCGGTACCGTTGCTGATTAATACTCTATTCACTTACAATGACTTTCTCGAAGGAAGGTATGTTCTTCGCTGTGAAGACGTGCATCTCTTCCATGGCTAGGGCTTTGCCTCCTGGCAGTCTCGTCTGTCACCTGACTGACCTGCCAGTTTTCCAGTGAGCCACCTCAGCGCCCTGAAGGTGCAGCCTATCTGAATTCTGCCAATACCGTGGTCTGAACCGCGTCCTTTTTCCCCACAGAGAGACTCGTAGCTGTCTGTCTTCTATTATGGCCCTGTTAGGACAGAAGGCCTCTTTTAAGTCCAAATAAACATCATGCAGTGGTAAAATTTAACAAATGATAAATAATTCTCATGCAAGAAAAAAAAATGAGCGCACTTCCATCAGTTCCTTCTTCCCCATTCTGCCCTAACTGAAAACAGAGCTGAAATATTGCAGAGAAGTCCTCCCATTAATTCATCTATCCCTTGTCTTTTAAAAAAGGAAGCTTTGCCATGGGCGCGTTTCCCCGCTTAGCTTAAGAAGTTGTTCAAAAAGTCCTGGCTAAAAAAAAATCTTAAGTGAGGAAAGGGGAATTTTGCCATCCCTAAAAATACAGCAACCCCCCCTCTCCGACCCCACCATGAGATTATTTATTACATCTGTACAAAGTTTAGAATTGCAGACTTTGGGACATCGAGGTCATCCAGAGGTTACTTTTCTCCCAGTCAAATACAAACATAATAAAATTGCTCATTTGCTTCTCCTCCCTGCCCCCGTTAAAGGAAGCCAAAGCCACAGCTCCATGTGCTCATGTGTGACGCAAAATTCTATTTTTAAACTCAGACAGAATATATCATTAGTCATTTACAGAAGGAAACCATTAACTTCTGAAAGGATGGAACAGCAGAACTCTTTCATGTTGCCAATTGCTTCTAAAACTAATTCTAAATACAGCAATGGCTGGAAATATATGTTTTCTGTCACTTAGGAAGATACAGTTTTGGTCCCTTAGACCAAGTTATGCGTATATAAGCATTAGACCCTAAAAAGGAAGAAAAATGCAAAACTGTACTAACTTATTTTTCTGCTTAATCGTATCTGTTTAATCATCTGCTTATTCTTTTGCTAATCATATTTGGGGATCAAACATTGTTTTTAGGACTTTCTTTTTGCTTAGAAAAGTTAACATTATCTCAGATTGCTTCAGAGCTAAGAATTCGTATTAATGTCCTACATATTTATATAAGAAAGAGAATCTCCTTTAAAAAACAAATTTAATCTAGACCGGAGACTATAAATAAGGCATCACTATCATTTTCAAACTTTCAAACGCCAGGAATAACACTTTTTGTATGAAATGTTAGTTTTAAAAAGAATATTTCTAACACAGTCTTAATGGACAGTTGTATATTATATAGACTAATGGATTCTAAGGGTGTGTTTGTGGAAAAACTTAAGCTTTTTCAGTATGCTGAGTAGAATTTTTTAATCTGGCCAAGATTGAGTATCTAGAATGAAGGAAACTATGTGATATGAATATCACTTTAACTCTTGAGCAGTTCAATAAAATTACCCAGGAAAATAAATTTGCGGTTCCTGATTTGCAAATGAATCATTAAGCTTTTTACATTTCTTTTTATTTCTCTCTAACCAAATTACCTAATCGAGGACGAGGGCCACAGTTAAGTCATCATTATATTCTCCTTTGTGCTTTAAATATCAGCTGCTCAGTCAATATTATGAGAGAAATGAATGAACATTTCATATTCTGTTTCCTGATTTTGCAAAGTACGTTCATTCTTTGGATGCTTTATGACTTAATTTTCTCCAAAGAAAGTTCTTAAAATGAAAAGTTTGTAAGGTTTAGGACAGCTAGAGAAGTCCCAATTTAAAACAAAAACCAGAAAGAAAAGAAATTGCATAACGGGGAGGCCTGACAAACAACTTCCTGATGCATTTCTGCAAACCTGTTAAAGGTCTTTAAACTTAAACTTAAAAAGCCAACTCTTTGCATCCCTTTAAAATATATCATCTTTTCTGGCTTTCTCAATTTTAAGCTCTTATCTCGTGTGTTTCTGTTCATTTCTTTTAATGCTTAAGGTTTATTTTTAAATTGTCTCTTCTTAAAAAAACTACACCTAATTACTAAGAGGTTATTACTTCATTTGCATAACCACGACTAACCATGCTGGAGAAATCTCTTGTTTTATTACTAGCGAGGTTCTCGAGGTCCTTGATATTTTCTTACTAACTCATCTTTACATCATGTATTTTCTGAATTGAACCTGGATTTGCGAAAAGAATTAATTTAATTATACTTATTTATTTTTAATTTAATTGTATACAACATAAAAGCGTTTTCAACAAAACATTCTTTAAGGGCAATTTCATAAAAGTAAATGGAACTTTTACAAAATTTACTGCCTTAATCGTATCATTACTATATAATAAAACAGAATCATGGTTAAGCTAGCCTATACTTAGAAGACATTTATGTTTTGGATTTATGTGATAAACCCATGAGTACAACTCCTGATTGCACCTACTTGAAAAACAAACGTTTTAGTTTATTAATTAAACTAGTAAATAAATTGCATGGTTTTAAGAGAAATTTATCATATAATTAGAAACATCTTCGTAAAACCATCTATTGCTTTACATTCTGTCTTAAGGAAAACCGTTTCGTGTCTTCACGGTGTCTCTTAAATAGCACAGTATCGCCATCTTCTCCTTGTTTTATCGCTATAACCGTTACTCTCAGGTTGCCGAGCCGCTTCGGCTTTTAAGGAAAGGATCAGATCTTGAGCAACTTGCCGTCTGTTCTCTTTACTTCTAGAGTAATACCATCCTACTGTTGGATACCACTGGCCGAGCCCTCCGTCTTCTTGTCCCTCTGTCAGAAGAGATGACGTCTAAGAAATCTTCGTGGTGGCACAAGGAAGACGCTGTAAGGAATACCCAAGCGGTCCAGCAAATTGCCGAGGACTTTCCATAGCTTCCTGAGCGTAAAGATGCACACCTGCCCGTCCCTGCCGTGCCTTCCGTTTATTATAATGCACAAGAGAATTCTCTTTTCGGGCACATGTAGATTTTAACACAAAACAAATAGACATTGGTGCATATCATTAAATACCAATAGCTTCTTTCCAAACTCACAAGAAGACTAGTCAGGACTGAATTCATGATAATAGAATATTATGATAAGCTATTTGAGTATGATGTTCTTAACAAATTTCTGGTCATGTAGTTGCTTTAACCTGTTTTGGATTTACATGATAAACCCATGAGTACAGCTCCTGATTGCACCTACTAGATAAATAAACATTTTAGTTTATTAATTAAAGTAAACTAGTAAATAAACATTTTAGCCCAACCCAAGAGGATTTATTCTGCCATTCAGAAAAAGGTAGTGGATATGGAATAAGGCTTACTCTTTGCTCTGCAGGATAGCGTACTTAGGTCTTAAACAACCACGGATGGGGGAAAACAAAAGATTTTTGAAATGTCATAAATGATCCAAATCTAAGAAGCAAAGTATTTTCTGTTTATGTTATGGTACAAATTCCGTTTTTTTGTTTTGTTTTGTTTTGTTTTTTTATTGATTGATTGATTGAAGAAAAGATTTTCCTTTTTTTTAAAGATTTCTGAAATCTTAAAAAAATTCCACAGTTTATCACCCGATAGTGTGTTTATTTCTAAACCGTATCTGGCACTACTTTTAACAGTTCTCAAGGTGTTTTAGTATGTGGCTCACAGCAAGATTTGAAATGTGTTTTAGTCCATGTCACCATGAGAGTCTGGGAATAGATGAGGAGGTAACTTCTCTGGGAATTTTACGTGGTGAAGACCTTGCAAGGCACAGCAGCTAAAGAGGCGTACTGTGTCTGACACATTTAATGTGAATGTTTTGTTTTGTCTTTAGGAAACTTATAAAATGTGTAAAGAATTTTCGCACAAAAACTGGCTAGTGTTCTACAAAGAAAACGGGTGAGCTCTTGATTGTAGAAAATGTAAACTGGGGACCCTTATTTGCCCATTCTATTTCCTCTTTTAACTTTACTTGTTTGTCATAAAACTAATGTAACCTAATTGTAAATGTTCTGTTATTAAAGTAACTCATCCCACACTGTAGAACATTGAAAAATAGACATAAGAAAAGGGTAGTCCTTTAATTAATTCTGTAATTCAGCCACTACTAGCATGGCAGTTATTACTTTTCATTATTTTCTATGCACACCCTTACGTAGCTTATAGTTTTGTATATCTTTTTTAACATTCTTAACATTTTTCTGTTATTATTTAGTCTTAGAAACATCCTTTTTTACGGTTGCGTGATATATCAGGAAACGATCGTGCCATGGTTACTCAGCCATTCTCCTCGCCACGTCCTTTCAGAGACAGTTTTCCTCTCCTTTTCCAGGAACAGCCTGACTGTGCTGGACGTTCTAGAAGGGCGAACTCATACCATCTCGCTTCCCATCAACCTCAAGACTGTGTTCCTTGTAGCAGAGGACAGATGGCTTCTGGTGGAGAGCCAGACAAACCGGTAGGCGGGTCCACGTCCGATCTCGTGGTATAGCTCAGCCTTACTCATCACTTCCCAGCGCCCTTACTGTTGTCCCTTCCGTGTCTGTCCCGTCACAATTTCCGAATGTGGCAGCATCTCGGTAAGTGAAAGCTGAAAGAAGCGGGGGGTAGAAAATTTAAATGAATTAAATAGCACGTCGCAGAGTAGTTATCACAGTGTTTCAGAGGATGACATCGCAATGAACAGTACAAACATCATGACTTTTTATGTAGGATCCATATTTCTTTGGGCTTGTGCCTCTCAGCACACTGAGAACTGTGTTCTTGCCAAACCAGAGATGCTTCAGAATAGACTTGCAGTTTACCCGCTCCTCAGAGGGCTCCAGTCTCCCGTCACAGAGCTGGCGCTTTTGTGTGACTTCACAGAATCCACCTCTTAGACATTTTTCGTTTTATCTTGTGCGCTCTTATTTGGTTATGTTTATGTTTGTGTTGCCTCCCCCACTGGGCTGTGCACTTCTCGATGAAAGGGACAGCAATGCTCTTGTGCACAGTAAATTTTGAGACCCTTCCTTCATGCATTTCAGCCACAAGCTGAACGCAGACTTTTTCTGCAACTCTGCTGACAAGCAGAGGTAGCTGCTGCAAAAGATTTCTGGCCGTTTCTACATCCCCGTTTCAGAAATCTTAAAAATAAGCACATCAAGGGGATTACAGTGGTGAGAGCGCCTTAGCTGGTCACAAATCAGAGGTCAGGCTCCCACTAACTGGCTGGTCAGCCGTATCAGCAGCAGCCTCCATGGTTATAGGGGTGTGTCTCCTTAGAGTTGTTTTTTTTCCATTTTTTTTTTACAGCCCTTCCTCTCATACAAAGTGTCAGATTTTTAGTTCATACTTATCACTGCATTGTTGTTCTGCACTGCTGTCTATACACAATGTTGAGACGTCGTTAATTCACGATGAAACTCTGGAACTGTGAATTCTATTTCTATTGTAAAGAAGGGGCTTGGGGACGGAAGGGGGTGAGGAACTGACTTTTTTCCTGGTCTGCCCCATGATTATGAGAAAAAGAAAACCATCTCGCTTAGGTGTTTTATTCGTTTACAGGAAATACCTCTTAACGACGCCCGCACACATGGAAGCTGAGGACAGCGGCGTCTGCCAGCTGTATGTGCTGCAGGAAGAGCCGCCTGCCGCAGGCTTCGGAGTCACACACGGTAACGCCGCTCGTCACGGTCACGGCGGTGCGGGGGCCGGGCTGTCTGTCGCGTGCGTCCTCGGGAGTCGCTCCCAGCAGTAACACCGACAGACGTTAAATTCGTACCGAAAGAGAAAACATGGTCTCCACTCTAGAAATAGGGAATGAGAAGCCACCATCTTCTAAGTTGTGGCCTTGAAACCGTTTAGCTGACAAATCAGAATCTTTGTATGCATTTAGGTTCCCACTCTTATTTTAGGGCAGATAACATCTTCTTTTTTTTTTTTTTACAGAGATCATCAGGATTTCTATTTAATTTATCACAGTTTTGGGCAGGGGGTAGGGGGGAGAATGAATAGTACTTATGAAAAAAATACAGGGCGCTAGTAATGATAATATTTATTGCTAATAAAATTTTGGATTCCGTAAATACTTTAAACCACTTTGAGAAGATGCCTCAATTGTAAAAATAAAAACAAAAACAAAAACAAAAAAAACTGAGTTTTCTCAGACAAAAGGCCATGAATGTAATTTAAAATGTTTTCTCTTCTTTAACTTGTGCTTTTCTGTTTGAGTTGGTAAGAATGAAATCTTATAACAATTAATTCCTGGGGCATTTTAGGGGCATGTGATATCTAATGTTTCTCTGACACTGTTCAGAAACAGATTTCAGCATACCTCATAAAATTTCAAGTGATCAACTATCATCCGAAAATCTAAGTTCAGCTGTGGGACAAAAGATTGCCTCTCCTAACCGGATTCTCTCAGATGAAAATAGTTATGCTACAGTCGTCATTGGTTTCCCGGATCTCATGGTAAGCCGCTGTTTTTTAAATTATTGAATAAATATTTTTCCCCTCAGTTCAGCCCATAATCTATAAGCCTATTTGAGGGGGTAATGAAAAATGTAATGATTTTTTTGAAAAACATTTCAGATCAACCTTCTGTTTTCCAAATCAATCATTAAAATAGGTGTTTTACCTATGTGGGTTCATTGCTATTTTTAAACTACTATTTAAAGACTGATGTAATTATATAATTTAGCAAGGGAAAAACCAGTGTTCTCCATACCTGGGGCTTCCTGTGACACACTTAAATGCTTAACCTGCTGATGGCGTTTTTATGCCATGCTGTCTGGATGTGTACGCAGTACTCTGTCAAGAGGAACAATTCGAGACTAATGTCTTCTAAAATTTGTTAAAGTGAAATATGTCAGCGTCTCGTTACTGTAAATTAAAATTTTCAACACTCACAAGCGTCAATTTACTTTCCATTGAGTTTTGCCCTATCTTCGCAGCATCCAGATTATACTGTAAATGCCGATGGGCTCAACTTAACTTGCTCTTAGACGCACCATATTCCCCTGATGGAAAATGAAACATAAAGGTTATTTCCATCCAAGTTGCAATCTAATAACCTGAGATGCAGTTCCATGTGTTTTGATTATACATTTAATTTTCATAATTTCCCTTGTAGCTTTTAGATGGACCGATAGAATTATTTAAAGATAAAAAATATTGGCTTTACTTTATAGTACACCAGTCTCACATACTTCAAAATTTTAATGTAATTAATAAATGATGAATACTTTAGGGTACTTCTGAAATCCAAAACCCAATGGACAGTATGTGCCTTAGGACTTTGCCATATGTCTTCCTAATTGTCACATAAAAAGCAGTTGCTATGGTATTATATAACTGAAAATGGAACATGTTAGAATACAGTCCCCACAGCAGTCTTGATTGAATGAAAGAGATGTTTAATATGCCTTCTGCCACGCTCGCGGCTGTCAGTAGAGAAAATACCGGAGCTATTTTTCTGAAGGTAGAAAACTATTTAAAAAAGTGATCTTCTGAGTTAAGAAATTAGCATAGAAATATAATGTGGCTGTAAGAAGATTAGAAAGTGAAAGCCGACTGGAAGGCACCGTTTGTATTAACCCTATAGAAGTCCTTGATAGCCCGGAGGACTCGTGGCCTTGTTAAATTAAAAGCTCTGGCCTCCGTATTTGGCATGGTGCCCACCACATAGGAGATGTTCAATGAATTCTTGTTTAATGAAGGATTAGAGTCAGGCTGCCTTTCAGCATTTTATGACAACAGTCATATTTTTAGGCCCCAGCACGATAGTAAGGCAGTGCATTATTCTAAACCTTTCATACATGATAAATCATTTTTACAACAATTCTACCAGTTTTACAGATGAAGAATCAGAAACAGAGAGGATACATCCCCTAGGCCACAAATATTAGGAGAATGGAGCTGGGTCTGAGCTCGAGCGTGACTGACCCTCAGATCATACCCTTTTGCTGCTGTCACACTGCCTTTCTGCTTTCGCGTGAATTTCTTTTGATTCTTCTTAAAACTATCGACAAAGAGGTATGTCACCTCTTATTAACTTTCCATAGCATTATCAGAGGAGCCTGAATTATATAAACTTACTAAAACTTTCTCACTCTAATACCAGATAGCTACGAAAAGCTACAGCAGATATCATCCTCGATGGTGAAACGTGAAAAGCATTTCTTTTAATATCAAGAATAAGACAAGAATTCCCACTGTCACCACCTCTATCAAACATCGACCTGAGCTCTTAGACGTGACCCATTAAAAAAAAAGATCAAGCAAATTTCATCAAAACTAAAAACTTCGGCTCTGTAAAAGACACTGTTAAGAGAATGAGAAGCAATCCACAGGCTGGCAGGAAATATTCCCAAACCACATTTCCAAAAAAGGGCTTGTGTCAGGAATATGTAAAAATTTCTTAAAATTCAAGAGTAAGAAAACCAATAATCTAATGTGAAAAATGGGCAAACGGTGGCCCATTTTTTGGTGTCGGAGGTCAGAGCCTGCGCAGGTGAGAAAGACAGGTGGCGGGGGACGGGTATCCACCAGGGATGGGAGTCAAGTCCCAGCAGGATGAAGACAGCATCCCCATGAAGGGGCAGCCTGGGGTGGCATGGAGGACCCACGGAAGTGACGGCCCGGCGCGGGCTGTCGGGCCTTACGCTAAGTAGACTAATCATGGTGATCACCTCACGTTAGACGCAGGTGTCGAGCCACTGCGCCGTACACCTGAAACTAACACGATGTTAAATTCTAATAAATACCGATGCTGTCTATTCCCTACGCCAGGTAGTGGACGCATTAGGTGTTTGGTTTATTTTTAAACTAACCGTATTGTTATATTTCTTCCTTTAAGTTCTAATTGATTTCAAGATTTAAAAAATTATGTTGTATGTTCACACTTGTCTGAAAATCGTGATCATTGATGAAGCAGCTATCTCCTGTGCCAAATTCGAAAGGTTAAGAAACAGTTTTATGTTCTTATACTTATGAAATGTGAGTTGACCACGGGCGTCTGCTTGAAAGGCTGCATCGTCACAGTCGTGCTAAATGCAGTTCAGAGCACTTCAGGGCTTTTATCTCCCTTTTGATTTTTTTCAGTCACCCAATGAGGTTTATTCTTGGAAAAGGCCGTCATCTTTGCATAAATCAAGGTTCACTGACACAGCATTCTATGGAAGAAAGAAAAACGGAACTCCGAAACAGAGCAATTGTGTGACCCTTTTAGATACTAACCAGATAGTCAGGATTTTGCCCCAAGGAGAAGTTCCTCTAAAGGATATCTACCCCAAAGGTAAGACACATACCAACTCTTAATTTACCAAGGTAGTTAAAGGTAGTTTGCTTTTGGAAGGGATACTTAATTTGTCATTATTATTGTATATTTATAAATATAAATAATTCTAATGGGGTCTGGTAGCTGTAAAGACCTATATGTGCTCAGAAAGTTGTCACTCAGCTTCTCGCACATGGTCGTAGCCATTGCTGTTAGAGCTCGTCATCATTTACACGATGTTTATACAGTAACTATACTCAGAACATGTCCCCTCGGACACTTTTAAAATCTCTAGAATATGAGGCATAAGAAATGGGGCCTGGGACTTATGCAGACGGACTCACTTGTTAATGTTCTCATAATCAGCTCATATTTATTACTACATGTTTTGTTTTGGGCTGCAACTTATGCTGAGTTTGTCTTCGCCAACAACGTGTTTAACACAGGTTCACTCAGGGCATTTCACAAGCCG